AGAACCTAAAACGAATTCTGACTAGCAGATAATGATCTCAAACCCCTTGGAATCTTTTCTGAGGGATTTAGGCAAATATCAACAAAAGAATCAAGAAGCTGATTCAGAACAATATCCACAAGAGTGCACTTCTCCAGAAAATAGCAAAGGTATTAAATTTGCTAAATTCAGACTTGGAATTTGACTCTTAATCCTCTTTTTCTTCCTCTATTTTTCCAATTCCTTCTATTGAATTTTCCATATACTACCAACTACTCCTCCGATTTTCATGGCTGATCCACCAGAACAAGACATGGAACCAAATTCATCTGAACCAGAGGTTATTCAAATTAATAACCCATCTCAAATTTCTATTTCCCCATCCAAACAGTTCTTCACTCTTGATAATACTCCTTATTCCAAATGACCAAAAAAATTGGATGAATTCCATACTTGGTTGAACACCAGAGATCTTGTTATTGAAAGCAAATATGATGTTCTTTTAGAATTTGCCACAAGGTTTACTAGAAGTCTTAAACATTGGTGGCAAGCAACTTCTAAGACAGATCAAATGACTTTTCTTCTTCTACAAGACTTTTCCCAAGTTATTGAAATCATTTACCTATATTTCATAGGAAAACCTGCTGATGTTCTTGAACTCAAAAGAAGAGAATACTTTGAAAGAAAATGTTGTTCTCTTCAAAAACAGCACCTAGACCGCCATTACAAAGAAATGATTAAACTCTTTTACAGCCTAGGAGCTGATCCGAATTTGAAACAAGTTTCCTTAACTTCCATTCCTAAAGAACTCTCCCAACAAGTTGAGAGATCTTTTCTCAACAAGCAAAAAAGAATTGTTGATATCCCCTTTGGAGAGCTACAACAAGAAATTCATCTTTGTCTTGATGAACTTTGCCTTTAAAAACAGATGATGAAAAATTACATCAGTGACAATCGTGAACTTAATGGTGTTTGCTACAAACAATATTTGAAGATCAAATGTTCAAAGAAAGATTGTGACGGTTTCTGAGGAGAATATTAAAAAAAAAAAACAAGCACTTCAAGAAGTATCGAGTAAAAAGATCTACGCACTTCAGAAGGAAGAAGAAATGGCGATTTCTGCGGAAACGAAGAAACTTCACGGGACACAAGAAACCAAACCGTTGCTTCATTTGCAACAAGAAGGGCACTTTGCCAAAAATTGTCCTCAGGCTAAAAAAGGTCAGAATCAACTTCATTGTCCCTATTTTCGAGTCAGAATCATCTCATTCATAATATCGAACTAGAGACAGAAATCTCTCTTGACAATAATGATATCGAATCCCTATTCTCTGTAGATGAAAATCCCACTGACCAAACACTTTTTATCATTCCTTATTATTTCACCCCTAATGAAACAGACTTTGACTCAGAACCTGAAGAACTTTTCCATCTATCTTCACAGCCTGAAAATCTGGACCCTAGTATACATTCCAATCAACTTCATTGTCCCCATTTCCGAGTCAGAATCTATCTCTCAAGTTCCAGACTTGAGAATTGTTTCTGGAAAAGAACTTAGGTATAAAGACCAATTCTCTGAATTCGTCAATATCCAAAGGCTCTTTTCTATCCAGATGAGTCTGCTAGATCCAATCATGCAGAAACTGTTAGAATCATGCTTAGAAAATCATTTCGAATTCTCTCATAAATGTTCTCATCCTTTGTGAAAAAAATCCAGAATTCTATGTTCGACTACCCTTCAAGAAAAATGAGGATATAAATCCTACTAAGGCTAATTATTCGGGAACGAATCCATAGCATTTGGCTCTTGCTAAAAAAAAATGCTCAGAATTGTTATAACAAGGCCTTATTGAAACTTCAAATTCTCAATGGGCTTGTGAAGCTTTATATGCCAATAAACGTGTTGAGTAAAATAGAGGTAAGATGAGATTGGTTATCAACTACCAGCCTCTTAATCTTTTTCACCAAGATGACAAATTTCCTTTGCCTTCTCGATATTCCCTTTTGGCGGGAATCACTAAAGCCCGTATTTATTCAAAGTTTGATCTTAAAGTCGGATTTTGGCAATTGGGCAATCATCCTGATGACAGACCTAAAATGGGATTCTGTATTCCAAACCAACACTTTCAATGGAGAGTTCTTCCATTTGATCTCAAGGTTGCTCCTTCCTTATTCCAAAAGGCTATGTGTCGCATATTCCAGCCGATCTTGTCCAATGCTGCTATTTATATTGACGACATATTACTCTATAGCCGAGACGAAGAATCTCATTGCCAACTTCTTGAGTAGTTTGGAGAAATTGTGAAAAAATATAGCATTATGCTTTCCTAGAAAAAGATAATTGTTGCCCAAACATAAGTTGAATTCCTATGTATGCACCTTAATAAAGGTACATATTATCCAAGGCCCCATATCGCCAAGGAATTACTAAAATTTCCTGAAAAGGATTTTACAACCTAGCAAGTTCAACAATTTCTCTGGATAGTTAATTATCTTAGAGATTTTGTCCCAAATATTGCAAAGTTGTTAATTCCTTTGCAACTGATGTTAAAAAAGCATCCGGTGCCATGGGGAAAGGCACAAACCATAGCAGTTACGGAACTCAAAGAAATTATGCAAGATCTTCCCTCTCTGCAAATCCCATCCACAGGAAAGAGAATTTTGCAGACTAATGCCAGTGATGAATATTGGGAGGCCATATTGTTCGAAGAACTTCATGGTAAGCGACATCTTTGCTCTTACAAAAGTGGCAAGTTTTCTCAGGCAGAAATACACTATCACTTTACCTTCAAGAAAATTTTGGCAGTAAAAAATGGAATAAAAAAGTTTGAGTTCCATCTTATTAGCCATCATTTTTTAGTAGAACTGGATATGACTTCTTTTCCCCAGATGATCAAATTCAAACAGAAGCAGATTCCTCATCTTCAACTACTCAGATGGGCTGAATGGTTTTCGAAATACTCCTTCGAAACCAAACATATTGCAGGAAATAAGAATGTTCTTGCAGATTTTCTCTCCAGACCAAAAGCATCGGCAGAAATCAACGTGTATATTCTTAGGCATTTCTTTCCTCTTCAGCCAGACAAGTACAAATTGAAAGATTTCAAGAATGGCTAAGCTTGGAATATCCTCAAGAAATAGTTGAGCAAATTCAAAAGGATAAACTCATTGAAAATTTTGACAACCTCATGTGGCAATATCACACAGACCTTTTTTAGACTACATGGAGGCTGTATTCTTAGCTCTTTTGGATTACACTCGAGGTACCCTTTCATTCACCCATTAATTTGACAAAAATGATTTTCCTGAAAAACTTAAATGGCTATTATGGTACCTAACCAGTAAGTACTTAATAGCTATTGAGTTTCCCACTAGAAATTTTTTTCTCAAATTAATCGGATTACTTATGGCTGATCACATTGAGCTAAATGAACACAAGAAAAACCTTTTAACTGTGCTCAAATGGTTTTACTCTCCTGTTTATTGGAAACGGCTTTTTCTCGAAGAGTTGAAAAAAATCCGAGATAATCCAGAAACACACACTGTTGTACTCCTCCATCGTCCATGGACTTTTGTGCACAACAATGGCATAGTCTCCAATACTGTTGCAGTAGTAGGTACTGCTATCTACAAGCCCCAGTCACATATTCAAGTTGCACGTGTTTATAATTCGTTTTCTAGTCGCATTGGCTCTGTTGAATATAATTACAGGGAACTCCAGAGGATCCTATGCCAAGAAAATCTTATTATCCCAGAAGAAGCATGGATTACACCACACCTGTTTCATGGGATCACAAAGGATCTTCATCTGCAACGAGACAAGCACTCAGAGAATACGATTAGGCACAAGTACAGCTCAGATCATCACAAGATCAAGAAATGTCAGACACAGGAAATCCAGCACGAGCATCTCAGAACCCATGGGGTGAACTGCTCTCTCAAGATCCCTATGACTACGGACCATTATCCTTATCCATTGGACTTGACACTAGTACAAGTTCCTATTACGCTCAAATAAGAAATTGGCCCCAGCCAGTCATGCCTGAAAGAACCAATTAAAACTTATCTCTCCCAGACTTTTCTACATATGCATCCTCTTCCTCAAACCAAACGCCAGTCATTACTAAAGACAATTTTGAACAAATTCTGGAACAGAGACAAATAGCAGAACATGAATATGCAAACAGCTCAGACTATGATTATAATTCTGGATGGAGATAAACTGGTACTGTTTCATATAACCGGCATTGTTCATTGTAACATATAATAGCCGGATACTGTTTCACATAATCGATACTGTTCATTGTAACATATAATAGCGGGGTACTATTTCACCTAACCCTATGAGTGTGTTTTAGGTGTCCTACGAATGTATTTTAGGTGTGTTTTGGACCGTCGTCTAACAATGTACTCCCCAGCGTCTATATAAGGCCATGTAATTTTTTAGTTTGGAATAAGAGGGAAATTTGTGAAATTTCAGAATTCTTACTTTCTATATCTCTCTAAAAATCCTTTTCTTCAAAACTTGGCATGATCCTCTAAGAAATGTAGCTCGGTCAGTTAAGCATAACATTATCCTGGTAACTCTGAGTGTCTCTATGCTCTAAATTAAATCTCCGGGTAGTTTTGCAGTTAAAATGCTGTCCCTGAAGGGCTTGAACAAGAGATTCACCGTGCGGGATAGCATACTTATTGCAAACTAACCTTGTTTTTCTTGATTCTCAGCATATATCCCCTTATTGGCCAAACTGATACACCCATCAACTGCCACATGTCATCCCACTTGGTAATTTGACGGTAAATTTTAACGGAAACTAATTGAGAGTAAATTTGTCACAAGTGTATCAGTTTAAGATTTTTTGTGATAAAAAAATTAATTTGGAATAAATTTATCCTATTAGTTTGAGTTTTTCGTGATATTAGCCTATTAAGAAAGTAAGGGCTTAATTAACCTAACTGTGCCAATAAGGGCTTAATTCACCGAACTGTGCCGTTTGGCTTCAATTCGTTTCGCTCCCTGTGTCTCTCCTGCATCGCAACTCGTTCCTCGTTTCCTTGCCGGTGGTGATCCAGAGGATCCGCCACTCTCCTTGCCCACGAGGATCCTCCAAGAAACAGCAAGAGATTCTCGCAAAGCACACTGGGCATTTCCCCTTCTCCCCTGCCGAGAGCAATTCTTGTGGGGGCGGATTGGTATCGCCGCAATGTACACGAGGAGGTTCAGGACTAAACTTCAGAGATGGGGATCGGTTTTCTATCACCGCCGCAATAATGGGTTTGGTGCCCGACGCTATGTATTGACCCCTGAAGCTTCGGCGAGCGAATTCGCTCCATCGCTCTCTGCTCTGCTCGGGAGATGCCTGTACAGCCCAAATGGTTCCGGGCAGCTGCATTTGTCGTCCCACGGTGCGAATTCGGAGTTTTCCCGGCGGAATTTCGGGTCTTTCAGGTGTTCGAATGGTGGGTCTGTCGCGGGCTTCTCGAGCGTGGCGGAGAGTGCCAAGAACGATGATGAGGATGGGAAAGATAACGGCTCGTGTGGTGGCGACGAGAAAGGGTCCAGGCTCGGGGCTGCGTCTTGGGTCGACTTGTATTTGCCGAGGAAGGCGAGGCCTTACGCTCACCTTGCTCGCCTGGATAAGCCTATTGGGACTTGGCTGCTTGCTTGGCCTTGTATGTGGTAAGAGGGCTTTGCGGTTTTGAGGCGGCTGTTTTGGTTTCTCTTTTCGTGAAACTGAATAAGCCCGAGTAGTTTCGGAGAAATGGATCGCTGATGTAGAAGTGCTGTGTATCCCAGTTCTTTTACCGATTTGCAATTCTTGTTTGGGATGGTTCATTTCAATAGGTTTGTATGTGCGATGTACTTTGTTGTGTTTGATAGAATGACTCTTTGAGGAGCAACTATTCTTTCCCAACTTGTACTGCCTGTGTCTGCTGCATTATTTATATAAAAGGTTTTGTCGTTTGGGAGTTGACATAGGCATCGATAGATCACTTATACAAGGATTATCAGTGGTAGGATTATCTATGGATCTTATACATCAATGACTTGAACTGCAAGTGGGGAGGACATGGCAATGTAAAATTCTGCAGCTGACTCTTGTTTTTTGAAAGGGAGATAAATTCTGCAGCTGTCTCTTTGTTTCTATAGGAAGATATTACGAGATGCTGCTTATTTCCAAACTGATTTATTTTTGGCAACACTCTGAGGACTGGGATTTAGCCAACTGACGAATTTGGAAATGAATGTGGGTTCAGGCAATGACACCCTTTTCCAAGGCAAAGGCACCGTTTTGTGGGGCTAAAGCATAATCCTCTGTTTGAGACAAGACTTCGATGGTTTCAGACTATATGTGTCTTTGGAGGGTGGTTTGAACTCATTTTTCATAAAAAAAAATTTCAGATTTGGAGCTATCTCTGATTGATTCTTTCCTAGCTCTTCTCTATTCTGCTAAGGTTTGTGATTTCTACTTTCTGGATTACAAGATGGTGTACTATATAGAAAATAAGACCTCCAGTGTTAAATATGTTTACATTATTTTGGGGATTCTCTTCTCACTCTCTCTCAACAGCAATTTGGCTACTTTATGTTCCCCGTAGAATTTCTTATTTTTGTTGGACTGTAGCTTGGAATAAGGTTCTTTCTACAGAAAATCTCAGAAAACAAAATTTCACTCTGACGAACTGACATTATATGTGCAAAAATCCGGATGATTCTGTTGATTATCTTCTTTTGATTCATCTTTTTCTTCATTGTAACTTTGGCCGCAACCTACGGAATCATATCTTCAGCTCTTCGAAGGTGGTCTAGGTCATGCCGAGAAATTCCTCCAGTTATTTAGCTGTTGGAATGCCTACGTAGGAGACTCAATCTTTTAGAAGTCTTGAAGCACTGCATTGTTTTGTGTCATGCAATTGGGAAAGACCTTGAGGAATCTCAAGCTTTGATTACTTTTATTTTGCACTCTGCTCTGATTTTGTCTTGTCTAGTGATGTTCTACTTTCATTTGTTTATAAACTTTCCTCCTGTGCTTGTACATTTCTGATGTACCAGATTTCTCTTTTAATGAAGTTCTTTATGACTCAACCAAAGAAAAATATATCTTAGTGTAAAACACTTAGGGTGGCGCTTTCACAATGCCATTTGAAACTAAGGGAGAGAAAATATCACAAATGTTTATGATAAGCTCCTTTTCAGTTGCAATATTACTGTGATTTTAAATGGTCCTTAAGGCTAATTAAAATGCTACACAAGACATTACCATGAATGATTATAAAGAGAGTGTTGGTCCATAGTAGTTGCAGGACGATGCCAAGAACTCATGGTGTTTGGGGTGTATGCATGCCAATGAGTGGTCTAATGGATTCTGCAAAAAAGCTTCGAATGTAATCTTTGGAGCTATCCACCTAGAACCGTTGTAAGCATGTACAGTATGTTGGACTGCTATTGCTGCAGGCCCCCTCATATATCACTGTTTTGAACCTAATCGTTCATATTCAGTTATAGTTGCTTCCTCCGTTTGTCAGTATAATGTGAATTTATATACCTTCTATGAACTCTGCTCTTGTATTTATTTTGCCTTGTGGAATTGGGCTGTAAACCAAAGAAGAAAGATTTTCATGGTGCTGTTTTAATGTGATATGGATATGCTTATTGAGTTTTATTGTTGCTTACGTCCAACCAATTCTAGGTCAATCACGCTGGCAGCAAACGCAGGAAGCCTTCCTGATCTTAAGATGTTGATGCTTTTTGGTTCTGGAGCTTTGCTGTTGAGAGGTGCTGGATGCACTATCAATGACCTCCTCGATAGGGACATTGATGTGATGGTAAGCATATTCCTGTGTATGTGTTTTTCTGTCTTTTTGTTCGGTTGAATAACTTGTATGTGCACATGCAACAGTTGAATAATTTGGTTGAACCCTTATGTTAGAATGAATAGCATTTTTAACTTCTCCTATCAAATCAAGATCTTTTAGATGAATTGTTTCCTTGGCACACTTGTTGCTTTATAGAAATTTATTTGCATTCTGATTAAAAGTGGTAGCCTTCTAAGACTTGAAACTCTTATACGTCTAGTGTGTTTATTCTATGAAAATTCTTTTCCTCTATTTTGTCTTTACCCTTTTTTATTAAATGATTGTTCTGCTCTTCCCCTTTCTAGGTAAATCTATTTTGAAGTTAACCTCTTACATCTTTTTCTGATTGTCAGCTTGGCGCTATTGGGTTAATTGGAAACTCGATAAAAGTTTCTATCTCAATTTTAGTTGGATTCCCTTAAGTTTTAGTCTGTTTAAATGTAGCCTGCAATTTCTGCATGCCTGAATCATTTTTCTTAGAGTTCTCTGGTTTGACCGTGATAGTTTCAGAGTAGGTGCTGCTAAATTAAGGGTTTAAATCAATTTTTTATGAAATTGATATATAAAGTAAATCATAAGTTCACCATACACCTGTCATTTTAAGATTATCGCTTTTTATTGTACTTAGAAAGCCCTTTTCATCATAAAAGTCTAAAGAATGACACAGTCAATTTGTATTTTTCTGAGTACCCTTTCCTTATTTTCCCGAACTTTTCTGGTTGCTTTAAGGTTCTTTTATCTTTTGCTGCTGAATAAATTTTTTATATTTCGTCAGAAATAGATCATGGGTTGCTAAGAGCCAAAGTTCTTGGAATTTCTCTTTGATAAGATCAATTTGTTAAGTTTCCTTGGCATTTAATTTATGTTTGACTCTTTTTCTGTTAGGTGGAACGAACAAAGTCCCGGCCAATCGCAAGTGGTCTTTTGACACCATTTCAAGGGCTTTGTTTCCTTGGGTTTCAATTGCTTTTAGGTCTTGGAATTCTTCTACAGTTGAATAATTACAGGTTACTCTCACTTTTATGTCCTCTTCAGACACTGCGTGATAAACTTTTGCTAGCTTTGCAAGCTCCTTTGAGATTCAAATTGATATTTTACTGAAAAGTGGAATGCTCAGGTTGCATGTCTTTGGCTAATAGTTTCCTTTAAAAACAAATAAACACATGCTTTTAGTTTTTTAAGCAGTCATTGTTAAATTGTCTTAAGCACATGTGAGCATGAAACTATGTTCCTTGGTGAAGTTCATTTGGGTGGGTTTCCATCGTTGCCTTACTGCCAAAGTGCCAACCTTTTCAACTTGGTCCCACAATTTTCTGAGTAGGAAAGTCTAATAGATCATAGTGATGTCTTGTCACTGGTCGAAGTGTTATGTGAGTTACCTCAAACGGCAGGATGCAAGGCCAAAACAGTATAAAGGTGATTGTGCCTTGAAAACCTAAATAATTTTAGGATGAAGTTTGTGATTGTGAACACTGCTGTCATTATGTTCTAGTACTTCTGTAGGATGCATAGGCTTTGGTTGATCGAAGGTCCTAGCCAGCTTATTCCATTTCATATGCTCACTCATTATGTTTGCAATGTCCAATAGCCATTAGCAGCTGCTTTCTTTTTGGAGTAAAAATATTCACCTTGTTTCTTCCATAATATTGCAATGAGCTTGCTGTTGTTGACTTTCAGCTCAGTTATATACCAGAATTAGGTTCAACATTGAGAAACTTCTGCTGTTCCATCCTTGTATAAAAGGAAGATTGACATGATAAACGATCTTGGCCTTTTTTATCTATATAGTTTTCTGATATCTGATTTTTGTATATTCAGAAATAGCTAATATAAAAGCATGTAGAAGTGGTCATAAAATATGCACTGGTTGTTTTCTTTTTTTCCCAATGATTAAAGCTGCATTATCTTTTTACAGCCGTATACTGGGAGCTTCTTCTTTGTTGCTTGTCTTCTCCTATCCCTTGATGAAAAGGTTCACGTTTTGGGTAATAAGACTGGATTTCTATATGTCACAGTGGGCATAATCTTTCTGTTGTGCTTTTTGTTGACATTATCTGTTGACTGACGTCTAGGAAATTTTCAATGCCAATGCAGCCGCAGGCCTATCTAGGTTTGACTTTCAATTGGGGAGCTTTACTCGGATGGACTGCTGTTAGAGGAAGTTTGGATCCTTATGTCGTGCTTCCTCTATATTTTTCTGGAGTTTTTTGGACTCTTGTGTATGACACTATATATGCACACCAGGTATCTGACCGTATCTTGTGAAACTTGTTGAGTAGTTTATATTGTGCGTTTTGCATTTCGAGTTTTTATGGAAATGATACAATTTCAGTACCTTTTCTTAGTGGTTGGACATTTTTGGACTGGTATATCAATTGGTTTGAACGATACTCCTGGAAAAAAGTTAGGGATTGTGGCGGAGTTTCATAACTTCTGTGAAGTGAGATCTGTTTCACTGCCACCTTGATATCATCACTCAATTGTAGGAGCAAAAGAAATAAAGTGTAAGGCAAAAGAACAATAATCACCGATGATTCTAGGTAGAGAATCCAGAAAAGGGGATTATTAGATGTAATCTTACAGTGCAAATGAGTTGGATTATCAAAAGCAACATGGCAGAATCAGAATGGAGAACATATTAATTTTTGACAAATGGATTTGAGATGCCCAATGTTATTTTAATTCTGAGAGATTTTTGGAAGACGTGTATGGTTTTTATGTTCATCTTGAATTTGTTGGATGAAAACTGCTAAGAGGGGACAATTTATTAGGCTCGTTGCTATTTCTCAAACAAGCATGAAATGCGTGGCTGCAAATTATTCCATAAGTCAATTGAATATGCAATTACTGGAATGACTATTGAAGTCTCAAATCATGGTTATGTGAGCATAAAGATTTATATGCCGTGTTATGTCTCCATGAATGTAGAACTAGCTTGCATTGTATTCTTTGGTACTTGCAATGGACTGGTAATATGTAAGATTATTCAGTTTATGCACGAACGATCCTTTCTTGGCTCTCTTTTTAGCCTTTGTCTGTTTTTCCTAGGCATTAAAGTTCTTCCTCCTTTAGAATCTTTCTCCCTCCCAGACCCCCACTCTCAAAAAGCCCACTCCAGCACCACCAATACAATGTTTTAGTTAATAGCAATATACATTTAGTCATAACTGATCACCACAGCAAGGCTCTTGACATTTGTTTCCTCCTTTTTAAAGGATAAAGAAGATGATGTTAAAGTGGGTGTAAGATCAACGGCATTGAGATTCGGAGATTTGTCGAAGGAATGGATTTCTGGCTTTGGAATCGCTTGCATCAGCAGTCTTGCACTCTGTGGATATAATGCTGATATTGGTATTAATTTTCTCCCGTCTAAGGATTCTGACTTTCAATATTAAATGCAAGCTCATTATCTTTTTCCAATGATGCATGTGGAGCAGGATGGCCATACTATGCATTTCTTATTGCTGCTTCTGGACATATAGCGTGGCAGATATCAACAGTTGATCTATCATGCCGTGCCGATTGTAACCGAAAGTATGTATTTTGGGTATAGCCAAGCAATAAACCCCTTGCCTTTCCAATTTTTTTTGCTCAAGTTGTGCTGATTCTTCTTTCTTTAGTTTACTTCAACATCTTTAGTTTTTTAACCTCATTTCGTTGAGCCAAACAGTGGCATAGAATCAATATTAAGAACACAGAAGGAGGACACAGTCATCATATGTAACTCCCCTTGCCTTTCCCATTTTTTGCATTAGTTGTGCTGATATTTCTTTCTTTAGTTTACGTCAACATCTTTAGTTTCTTAAGCTTATTTTGTCGAGCCAAACAGTGTCATAGAATCAATATTAAGAACGCAGAAGGAGGACACAGTCATCATATGTAACTCAAATAGTTTATCCAAGTAATTGTAGACATACTTTCCAAGTGTTATGAATGCCTAGATGGCCATTCGGTTAAGATGATTATTTCCCCTTCAAAGGTCTTTCGTAACAGTTTTTCATAATAATGAAGTGTTTTGTTTCTTTCCTTTGTAAAAAAAATATTTGATTGTTTCTAGTGATACAGGTGATTGACATTTAGAATGGCCTTTTAGTGAGGGACATCTAGTTCGGTCTAAGTGTGAATTCAATATAATTTTTTTCAGGGATCATATATATAACTATCTTTAGTTGATGGTAATGGGATATTTTCTCTAGTTGCTGATGTTTATGCGATCAAGAGTGGAGGCCTCGGGCTTATTGGCTTCATCACTGAATATGGGATTTCGTGTTCATAGTATTCTTTTGCTTCGTCAAAGAATATCATGTAGTTCTTTGATGACAGTAATTCTAGGCTACCAGAACATAGTTAATTATGTTGTGGGGACGTGTTTTTGCATGTCAAGGGGAACCTCTTTGTATATTGTTCCAATCATATAACATGTAAAGTCTCTTTCAGAATTTGCCAAATATCTCCTGTCGTCTTTGAATTTTGGCGATGTTTAGGTTGCTGATGTCCAGTTGAAATGTACTTTCCATTTATTGAACAAGTCATTGCTATTCAAATTCATATACTCTCTGAATCTTTCTCACACTTTTGTGTGGTGCAGATTTGTGTCCAACAAGTGGTTTGGAGCCCTTGTATTTGGAGGAATTTTGTTTGGAAAGCTTGCAACGTAGAGGTGAGACTTTTCATGTGGAGCTTAGTTTCTCATCTTTTCTTTTTCCTATGATCGATGCACCTTACGTCACTGTTACTTATCCAATATAGAGAAAGGATACATCTTAAGGCTATCGTCAATACTAATGGGATTAGATGGCTTTTTGTTTGGGAGCACATTGAATCTTATGTCGACATTCCTTCTGAAAATAATAAATAATTTTCGAGCTACCAGACTCTTGAAATCGGATGTCTGCAAATTCATTTTGGTCATTGAATAATTATATTCCCCAACAGAACAAAAACTCGCTGTCACTTTTGTCGATTCTCTGGATATTATCCAATTAAAACTATTCTTAACCATTTTCTTTTGTCGCTATCGCCATGAAACTATTTGCTTTTGTAGCCACCTGCAGTTTCATGTTACAAAATTACAATCCTCGAGTAGTGTTTCAGGCAACCTCTTTGATTGGTTCATTGCAAGAGAGGTGTTAAACTGCTCGAACATTGATGTCTTCTGCTCTTCAGACTTGCTGAGGTGACTCTGAAGCTGGTCTAGTAAGCTTAAGTACATTTTCTGTATCAAAAATTTCCATGTAATGTGATGAAAACACCCTCACCACAACCCCAGGTGGGAAGAAAAGGAGGGAGAAAGAGGGAGGGAGGGAGGAGAAAAGTTTCCCCATTAGAAACTACTTGAGCAGATGTTGTATCTTCTTTCTATTGAGCAGAAATAATAAAATCTTGTTGCATGAGAGACGATTGATTTACATTCTAATCTTTTTACAGTCTTAGAAAGAAGCAGAGGAAGCAAATCGAAGGACAAATTCCTGCCCCACGCAAGCAAACCCTTTGACCTTCATCTCTTGTGACAACTCACCTTTGGAAACTCCTGGTCTCAAAACTTCTCTAGTGTAACTTTGTTGTTCAAACGTTGATCATCGCCATCAAATCAAGCAACAACTCGGTCGGTGGTGAACAGATCAGATTTCGTAGGCAGCTATTCTCCTCAGACAATAAGGTACTTCTGCTCCCGTCTTACAGAGCTCATACAACTGGCTCATATGCTTGTCTCGACTCCCCATTTACTCGGTTATTCAGAGAACCACCTGAAATCAGGTAGAAGACGGATTAGGTAAATAGTGTAATTTAGGCTTCAAATATATATTGCCCAAGTGAGAGGATGGGTACAATTGAAGCTCTTGTTGGTAAACTTCCCATATATCCTGTGGGATTTGAATATTTAGCATATAGTAAATAATATTTACCTACACAGATATAATGCATATTTAAGCAACATGTATTATATATATATAGACTAATGGATATCTGAGATAGATATGCTATCCCACATTATGGCCCTTCTCTCGTCCTTAATAAGGGATTGCAATTTAGTCTGTAGACATCATGAATTTATACCATAAAACTCTCAAATTTTCTGATCTATTCACAGTGTCAAGTGGAGAGCATACTCAACCAATTCATCTTATCAAGCTAACGGTGCAACTCTGTACATATAATGACATCAGACCTTGAGGTAGAGAATGAAAGTGTTTAGGTAGACTAGAGAAGTGTATGCTATAGAGATTGTCCAAACTTGGTCTTATTTTACAACTGAAAGATAGTGCCCTTATATAGGCGATACAGACCTTTAACAATACAACTATAAGACAATGATAGACCAAGATGGTACAAGACCTTCACATGCACTTTTATAAGATGTTTTTACCAAAGCACACTAGAAACACACTTTGTCCAAATCTGACATGCTTATTTTCAATAGTACGATAATTTATTTTGAAAGATCATTGTGAGATGAGGGATATCATTAGGATTGGCTTCATTACAATATTCGAAATGTTTCCATTGCTTTAGCTAAGAGAGCTGTAGCTCTTTGGGCTTTGAAGATGCTCTCTTATTGCCAGTACTGACATGGAATTCTCTGCGAGGAATTGACGGTTGTGGCTAGCTGTCTAAATTCTGATGAGTAGGATTGGGACCATAATCCCATGAGAAAGTGTCCACCCCAAGGGTCTTAAAACGACCGTGGATGATTCTGAGATGGCTATAGAGGTTGATGAGGATTATCTACTTGAATTTCTGCTAAAGCCTATTGGTTAGCATCTCTGGTGGGTTCATACGCCTGTGTGTAAACCCATGATACTTCGTCTTGTAATGCACTAGGCCAAATCTCCTTGGGAACAATATGATTTTTCTCACACAATATCCTCTGGATTTCTTTGTATTCAGAGTCCATCATCTGCAATATTGCATATATGACCTGTGTACCTTTACAAATGAGAAAGAGGTATTAAAAGACTCAAGTTTTAAAGTGCGGGGGGCATGGGATTATGGGCCCATCCTACTCATCAGAATTTAGACAATTGGCCATAAATAAAAGAGCATTTCTAGAGTTAAAAGAGCTTCTTTTATAGCTAAAGCGATGGAGATAGTTTCAAATATTTTGATAAAGTCAATCCTGATGATGTCCTCTCATTAGACGATAACCTTATTGAGTGAATTATTATACTATTGAAAATAAGCATGCCAGCTTTGGCCAAAATGTGATTTTAGTGTGCATTTGTAAAAGCATCTTATAAAGGTGCATGTGAAGGATATAAGGAGCATTATCTCAAAACTCTTTGTAGAAGTTCTCGATTGTTTTTACCTAATATATTACTGGAGGATACTCTTTGAAATGGAATTTAAGTGCATGAACAACAATACCCCTTTCTCAAGATAAAAAGCCAGACAACTATGCTCTTTTACGGATCATGGATTTGTTTTTTCACCATATTGCAGATTCCACGCCTCACACTTTAAAACTTGAGTTAATACCTCTTCATCCTTAGTAATGGTATACAGGTTATGTAGGTTCAGTATTGCAGCTGTCAACTCTGAATACAGAGAAATCTAATGGATATTGTGCGTAAAAAAATTATATTGTACCCAAGAAGATTTTTTTTGTTCGGATTCCCAAGAAGATTTGGCCTAGTGCATGCTAGGAAGAAATACAGTAGGATTACACAGGCGCATGGAATCTGCTACAAAGGCCAAGAAAATATGATAATCAGGAGCTGTTCTTTCCCAATCGGCCCAAACTTAAATAAATTACATGCAACCAATATATTGAGTCACGCACACACACACATATATAGTAAATTGTACATCACGTCGACCAAGGGTTTTATAGAAAAATATGCTTATCATGAGTTGTATCCTCCCAACTTGCCCATATATAAATAAATTTTATGTTAAAATTAGATACAACCGATACATTTTGAGTCGGTGTTCCTTTTTGACCAATAAAACGAATTTGATTGTGCATAAATACCATCACGGATATGCATGATGTTCATAGCTTCAATGCAATCCTAGAAAAAAGGTGCTTCGATTTAGTTTTGGAGAAAATATGTAACATGGGAAAGGGTTTGTTCCAACACAATTTTGGGTAGTTCAGAGACCAAGAATACTTTGAGAATTTATCTATATTTTAAAGTAATGTATGACTAATATAAAGTAACTAATATTTGCCTTTTTTGTTTTAGGATTGCATTAGAGTTATGGATGGTACACATATCCCAGCGGTGATACTTACAAATGATTAAATTCGTTTTATTGGTCGAATAGGAATATCGGCTCCAAATGTATTGCTTGTGTGTAAATTTGACATGAAATTTATTTATATTGTGGTCGGTTGGGAGACACTGTTTATGATGCTCATAACTTCTATTAAGCCATTCAGAGACATGATGTGTATGGGGTTTAAATTTACACGTGTAGGTAAATATTATTTAGCAGATGCTGATATTCAAGTTCCATAAGTTATTTGGGGCCACACAAGAAAGTTGGATATTATTTGCTTGAGTTTCAACGAGGTCTTAGAGGTTATGAAGAAGTGTTCAACCGTGCCCATTTCTCACTAAGGATATTGAGCAAGCCTTTAGTGTATTGAAAAAAGAAGTTGAAGATTCTAAAGAATATAACAAGTTATCTGTATAAAAAGCAAGTGAAATTGTAGTAGTGATAATGACTTTAAATGATCATATACGAAGAATGACTTGAATGATACCTACTTCACAAGAGTTGATTTGGTTCCCAATTATGGATAAATATTTGACCCTAATAATGTAAATCATGGGCTGGTGTTTCAAATAATAATGCATCTTCTAACATGACACATGTTTGTTATTGAATATCTATGAGTTCAGTAAATAATAAAAAAATACTTACAATTTTGAAGGATAACATCGTTCCTTCCATGACCATACGTAACCATGTTTATTATAATGAAATTATTCCCTGTTTAATTGAAAAAGAGTCCACATGTGACTCCTTTGACATTTATTAATTTTTTAATACATTGTAATGTTTGTTGAATTCGATCTTTCAACCATAAAAGAAATATGATTTTTACGTCAAAAAATTGTTTATACGTTACTTTTACATTCAAATTGTAAAAATTGCAGTCAGTCATTGATTTTTCCAATTTTTTTAAAAAAATTAAAAAGTAGAAAACTTAAATCAATCACAAAAACACCAAAGGACTTTTGGAGCACGGTCTTTTCGAAGCCGTAATTATATAAGAGTTGCTTTACAATGCACTTTTCAATTAAAATTTGCCAAATGCTCAATTGCTTTTACCTACTCCGCTTTGACTCGAAACATCTTCTTTAAGGCTCCGTTCGTTTGGCGGAAAATATTCTCCTTTTGGAAAATATTTTTCCGGAAGTCATTTTCCTGGAAAATGTTTTCCCGAACATATTTTTCGTGTTCGTGCGACCAATATGAAAAAGTTTCGAAAATATTTTTCACCGGCGACCAGAACCGGCGGCGGCGGGCGGCGGGCGGCGGGCGGGCGGCGGCGGCGGCGGCGGTGGCCGGGCGGGCGGCGGGCGGCTAAGAACCGGCGGCCAACGGTGGTGACCGGCGATCAACTTCCTCTCCCACGGAAAATATTTTCCCTCCCATGAGCAATTTTGCCTTCAATTTGGGGAAAATGATTTCCTCTTTATGAAAAGAGGAAATCATTTTCCTCAAAACAATGAAGGATTTGGGGGTGGGGAAGGAAAATGTTTTCTCGCGGAAAACATTTTCCGCCTCCGAACACCGGAAAACGCGGAAAATATTTTCCGGGAAAAATATAATATTTTTCCGCAAACGAACACAGCCTAAATAAGCTTTTGAAATGCTTAAGGTTTTGTTAAACTCAACCTTAGCGAGGTTGGTGAGATAATAATAGAAATGTTCATCAACTCACTTCTCAGCATGCCGAGAAAGTCAAAAAGCTGAGGCAAGGTCTCTCCTTGCCTTGAGAGAAAGAAACTGCCTTGCAAATGCATTGGATTGGAACATGTCTAAGGAAGTGATTCTTGTGAAATTCGAATTTGAATTGCCCCATTTTTCTTCGAAGTATTCCTACCCACGTAACAAGATTGTCTGGACTTAGTCCATCTTTTCATGATCCTATCATGTAATTCAAATCGATGAATTCTTCTCTCTTGACTTGCGGCACGTCGTACTATCCACTTCAAGGTTTTATCAATCACGCGTAATTTCCTGAACGTAAGGATATAAATTCTCGAGAATTCATCAGTCCGGTGCGAACGGTCTGCTTTCGATCGAATTTGAAAGGTACAGAAGTCGTTCTCGCTCCTTTCAAAGGTTTTATCAATCACATGTAATTTCCTAAACGTAGGGAAATAAATTCTCGAGAATTCATTAGTTCAATACAAATGGTCTGCTTTCGATCGAATTTGAAAGGTAGAGAAGTTGTTCTCGCTCCTTTTAAAGTTTTATAAATCACACGTAATTTTCTGAACATAAGGAAATAAATTCTCAAGAATTCATTAGTTCGATGCGAACGGTCTGCTTTCGATCGAATCGGAAAGGTAGAGAAGTGGTTCTTGCTCATTTTAAAGGTTTTATCAATCACACGTAATTTCCTGAACATAAGGAAATAAATTCTCGAGAATCCATCAGTCCGGTGCAAACGGCCTGCTTTCGATCGAATCTGAAAGGTAGAGAATTCGTT